CCCCAAAACCCCAAAACCCCAAAACCCCACTCGCAAATTACTGTTATATTTGGGATTAAATAATTTTAAAATAAAATTAAAGAGAGAGAATGAGAAATCATTAAATAAGCGAATATCAGATAACGTAAAAAAACTACCCTGAGAAACGAAATATACAGCTTTAAGGCCCATATTCTGATAGATACCAGTAGCCATACTTCGTTGACACAAGCAAACACAGTACCCACACCTAATTACCTTCTTCCTCTAAGGGATTTGACAATTAATACAGCAATTTTCCATTCTAACACTAGCAGTAGCCACATCAATAACCACTATCTACTCAAAATGCCAATGATTCTACCTAAAAGTGCATTGATTTATCTCTGGTCAATCTGACGAACTAAAAATATAATGCCAGTCAAAGCAGCTATTCACAGGCTATGGATCATAGCCCTGCAAGTTATTAATTTGGGCCAACAGGAACATTGAAAAACCATGGGGCTTAGGGTAATTCTACTAAAACTTAGCATTATTACTTTGGAGGGACTCTTAATGATAATTAAACCTCTGGTAGCTAGTTAGATAACACCAATTCAGATTTAAAGTGGCTGATGACAAAATAATCTCCTCTTTACAACAATTACTCAAGCGGAACTAATACTAAAGACTACACAACTGCTAATGTTTATAGTAATATCGTTGTCAGACAGTAAAACTTTATTACTGACAAGAATCAATAATCGTAGTTTGAGTAATTGAACTAAAAGCATTTATTAGAAAATTAAAATAAACACCAACAGAAATAAACTACCAGGCATTAATACAATAGTGTTAATGGAAGAGAACCAAAATAGTAGATGTCATTGTCACTGCATAATACATCCACTATCAATGAAAAGGCTTATCAAACACAGCATTAATAGTCAGTAAAACTCCCTTATCCTTAGATGAAAGAGTATCAGAGCAACTCAACGCTGCCAAGTAATTCTATAGGGTATCAAAATACTCCTCCTTCTTAGCAAGTAGTAAACAATCCCTTTAAAGCTGGGATCTAAGAGACTTGCAACTCGAACAATAAAACGACTAAAGTCTTTAACTTTTAAAACGATGACTTTCTTTAGTAGAATAATCAAAGCAAGTACTAAACTACAGTAAAATCTAGGAATGCCAAGGAAGTGAGTGTGAGCAATCAAATTAACAATACCTATGTTTCTACAAAGGATTGCGAATATGAGAACAGCATTAATGATTTTTAAGCCATAAATAAAACAATCTTGCTGATTCAAACTCTATGCTAAACTTATACCAAAGATAAGGTATTTGCTTCAAGCATTTAAAAATTAGTTTTAGAGCTTAGAGATGAAATATCTGTATCATCTCAAAAATAAAAGAGAGTGAGTCTTGATGAATAGAAATTGCAAACTCAAAACACGCATAATCTGATACAGAAGATAGATGCTCTAGATGAGAAAAGGAAATTTTATAAATAAATGGCTAAATAGATGAAAATTGATATTAAAAATCTTAGAATTATAAATCATTCTTATCAACTAAAGCTGAAAGAGAAAGATCAAAGTATAGTAAAAGTATAATCGAGAATAAATGAGCTGGAATAAGAGATTAATGAAATTTGTAAAAATTAGCTAGATTCAAATAGGAATTTGATATTGTAAACATTCCAAAGGTAGCAAAGCTTTGATGTCAACAATATGATGTTTAAAGATCTAGTTAATGAATGCAATAAATATATGTCTGAAAACACGAGCATGACTGATGTAAATATTTCCTAGTATGTTGATATGAGTTTGCTGAAAAATACTATAGACATGATTCATCAGAACTAGTTGTCTTTGAAGGTCTACAGAAAATACTTCTCTTTCAATGACTCTTTCAACATTACTAATTTCAATCAGATACTCTTTATGATTTAAGAATTAGTTCATGAACTTTAAGAATTATTTAACTCTTCCCCAACAACATAAAAATTCTAAACTCCTAGATCTACATCTAACAAGATCACTCTAAGGAAAATCTAAAATTAAAGCATTGAAAATCAAGATAATCATAACAGTAAGGAGTAAGTCACTATGGAAAGTATTAAAGAGATGAAAGAAAAATTGCTCAAAGAAATTACGGATTAGCTAGATGCTAAAGTTTAGCAAAGAATCAAATAAACTCTTGATCAATCTTCGAATTTATCTGAGCAAAATACTCTTAGCAAGTCTTAGTTTATTTCTCAAATAACTAGAGATGAGATTCAAAGAGAAATACTTGCTATCATGAAAGAATAGAATTTAATTTAAGAAGTTATCCCAGATTCAAGCATTGCTTCCCCCTCAAGAAATCTAGATACAGTTAAAAAGCAAAATGTGAGCGTAGGAGGTGGTAAAGGATCTTTTGTGAGGCAATGTTTAACATAGAACTAATCTCATGGTCAAAGTCACAACAATAACACCCAAAAGATTTTAACTAGTAGTTCTTAAAAATCAGTTGTTAATGTAGGAAATAGTAATCAAAACACAAACAAAAATAGTATAGTAATAAGAGAATGTGAAAGTGTCAGTAGTCTTACAAGTCCAAACAAGAAATTATCAGTGACATCAAGTGCAAGCAGACCTGCTATAAGACCTAAAGGATTTAAATCTAGCTCTTCAAATAAGTGCTTGATCAACAAAGGAACTGATACCAATCTGGATAAAGCTCCCGATATTTCAATTCAATTGCAAAGAGATTAAAAGAGGAAAAATTCATTTATTATGGGATGTGATGGTGATGCTGCGATTATCTTTAGACAAACCCCTTCAGATGAAGAACTTATTAGACCTCAAGATATTCGGACAAAGCCAAACACATCAAAGCACTACGATACTCCATAAAAAGAGGAACTTAACTAGAAGCTATCTATTGCAGAAAAATAACTATCTTAAAAAAATTCAAAATAAAATTCAGGGATAGCATAGAAATAAATCGGGAGAAATCAGTAAAATAGCTTAAGAATACCTGAAAATAATGTGCAGCATTAAGTTTATTAATAGTAGCAGAGGTAATCAGATGCAATTTTTACCACTGAAGAGGATGAAAACTTGCTGAGTGACATTGATCTGTAAAAGGGAAGTAACCTACTTTAAAGTGTAAAGACTGCTAGTTTTAATAACACTGATTTCCTTAGTGGAGCTGAGGATCGAAGGTCATCTAGACTTAATAATTAATTACAGCATACATTGAGACAAGAAAGTATGAGATCAGAATAATAGAATAATTCTATTTTATTGCAAGCCTATTTAGATTAAAATTAGGATAGTTAGCTTATTTCATCTAGCAGACTCTCCCACCAAAATATTACGCCTTAAAATTAAAAGTCATAAAGCTACAACCGATTCGGATTTAAAGCTAGATAGCAGCCATCATCTACAAGTAAGAACAATAGGATATGATTATAGTCAGAATTCTCTTGCCTTACATATAAATTATTATTAAAGATATGAGTTAATTGTGAATTTCTATAAATTATTAAATTAATAAAAATAAAATGTCATTTATCTAAACTAAATCTTAATTATCAACTCAAAAATCAACACCTTATACAAAACCACAGCAATCGTAACTCCCCTAATAGATATAGCAAAGTTAATGATAAAATGCGTCATAGAGTAATCATCAACCAAAGAATATCAAATTTACCAATTAACACCAAATCGATCAGATTTAAATAAAGGAGCAAACAATTAATGAGATTTACAATAATCTTCAGCAAAATGCTAGTAAGTATAATCAATAGAATATTCAGAACTAATCTAATGCTGATAGATAAAAAGTACTTGCCTTTTATAGATAAATATTACAGTAACATTAAGATTCCTAAAAACTTTCATTAATTTCATTACAAATATCAAAAATAGTAAATCTAGTGCTATAAGTTGGTCTTGAAAATTAAAGCCAAGAATAAAGTTTTATCCTGAAAGAGTTTTTCAAATTGGTTAATATTTTAATCTATCCTCAAAGAATTTAGCTTGCTTCTAACTAATAGTTTTCTGCAGCAGGGCTCAGTCAAAATACAAATTATGATTCATAATCTAAAGTGAGAGACATCATTCTTTATCTAAAGGTTATCAAATAAATCTTAAATATTCCTGAAAATAGAAACTCTTCAAATAATCTTCACAATAACAACAAACAATAGCAAGATGAAGATCATTTATTTGCATTGAGTGATATAATTGATGATAATAAAATAAATCAGCATGCTTTGATTAGACATCTTATGTATTTATGGGAATCTATTATTGGTAAAAAGGTTGATAAGATTCAAAACTTAGAGTTCAATGAGATATTAGATCTGTAAAGAGATTTAGAACCGTTAGTTCATAAATAGAATATATATCAATTGATGCAAAATCATTAAAGTAGTTTTCAATTACCAAATATTATATAAAATATCAATACTTTAAGCTAGTAGTAATCCTAGTAATAGCTAATTCATGCTGAGAGTATTAAAGAATTAGAATAGTCCTATTATGTAAAACTGAAAAATTTAGAGAACAAGTTAAGAGCTTACAAATAAGAATATGTAAGGGTGAAGACATTTTGTAAAAAGCAGGATAATTTGATAAGAAAATATGAAGATGCACTCTAAAATATTAATTAGAAGAAAGAATCATAATAAAAATAGCAGGATCTTAAGAATCGAATTTTTGAAAAATTTCTGCAGAGCTTGAAAACAGACTATGATAGAGAACTTTTAGCAATAAAGGTGCAGTAGTAAAAGGAATTTAATATGAATGGAGCATAAAGTTAAATTAATTTTGATCATAGTAGATCAATAAGTCCATTAAATTTTCATAATGAAAGATATAAAGAACCTATTTAAAACAAGAGTAAATCTATCTAAGATTTAGGGCTTAATATTGATTTTTCAAAGTATGATAGCAAGCCATCTCTCTTGGATAACAAACCTAAAAGTGTATAAAAGGTTATTCAAACAGAAGACGATTAACGTATTAATGATTTTATACAATTATAAGAGGACTATAAGGAGATTAAGCAGGAAAGAGATGTAATTTCTTCTGAAAAGATGGAACTATTGAGAGAAAAGCATACCTATAACGAAAAATATAGTGAATTACAGAATGAATTTGAGGAAATACAAGAAAGATTAGATAGAAAAACATAAAAATGCTAAAAATACAAAGAAAAACTTCTCAGATTTGAGGAGGAAGGAGTGAATAAGCAAGGAGGTGTTGAAAGATTATAAGAAGAAATCAATATATTGACAAAATAAAAATTGGAGGCTGAGTAGAGGACTAAAAAGTTTGAATCATAATTTAGATCGGGGCTCAAAGAAATCGATTAACTGAGGGATGAAATTGAATAGTTACAAAATGAAAAGAAGCAAATTAAACAGCAGGAAAATGATCTAGAAGGGGGTCTTTCAGAGCAATCCAGCTTCATAATATTTAATTAGCCTAATACTCATCATGACATGAGAGTTAGTGAACTAGAAAAAGAAAAAGAGGTACTTTTGCAGAAAATTCAAATGCTTGAAAAGATTAATAAAGAATTAGTCGCATATAAAAAGGCACTTGAGGAAACTATTGATGAAATAGCTAAAGAGTAAGACAATTAAAAGAGGTTATAAATGGTTAATTTCAATTTAATCAGAAGAAAAAGTTTATTAAGGTTAGAGCATTCATAATTATTCTCTGATGTTAAACCACTTCATACTCCAGATAAAACTGAAAGATAATTAGCCACAACTGTCATCAATTAATATATGGGGTAGAAGCAATCTATGTTTGACTAATTTTTACCTGGAAATAAAAACAGTAAACTATAAGCACCGAGCTCAGTATTGGATATGCAAAGTACATCCTAATTCAACACTTCATAAAATGATGACTTGATATCACCGAACTATCAAACAACTAATGGTGTCAGAAATCAGCCAGATCTAAATGAGATTCTAGAATAGATTTAAAGAATGGATTCAGAGCAAAACACTCCAGCTCATAGAACTCAAAATAACATTTAAATGGGAGACTCAAATGATCATGAATATGGAAGTAACTAAACACATAGCTTACAAATGGAAAGCCGTCGTTAATCAGTCAGTGATAATAGAAACAACAATATATTGAGTGGCTTGATTCGAGAAAACTCTAATTAAAAGTCTTTGCCAAGGTTAGAAAACGACAAAAGTACAAATAGCGTTAAAAATAACGTGTTCACAAATGATGCATTTACAAGTTAAAACAACTAATAAACTGGAAATTTTAATAAAAATGACTATAACAATAATTTTGAGGATGATGAGGAGGAAGAAAAAGAAGAAGAAGATGAACCAGAAAACAATAACATTTTTAATATGTTGCTTAAAAAGTAGATGACGCAGAAACTCTAGGAGTAAAATAAATCTCAAAACATAATAAATGCAGACATAAAAAAGCAAGTAATTAAAGAGGCAGAGGATGAGGATGAATATGATGAAGAGAGTGATAGCAGTAGTGATAGTGAAGAAGAATTTGATTGAGTCTTGCCTAGTACTCATTAATTTAATGAGACTATTTAAAGTATATTTTTGAATTTCATATATTATTCATTAAGCTTTTACCACTTTATATTGATGAAATTAAGCTCTTTAATTAATATGTTTAAATACATCATTTCCTCATTTATGACATAACCATTGCTTTAAGATCATCAAATTTACTGCTAGTAAATTCTTTCTAATCGATTTGATATATCTTTTTCTGCTTGTGTAATTTCAAACCTCTAAATTAGGGATCCAGCACCTCATCTTTGTATTTATCAAATAACTCTTTGTAATAAATGCTCATATCTTTATTACTGCTATAAAGACCTAACTTAGTAAATCCAAGACATATCCCAGAGCATATAATCATATTAGGCAAGAGTCTAGATCTATACTGATAGCTAACAATAGCATAGGAGAAATAGAATAAAGGAGGTAGGATAAACATAGACCTTCTCCAAAACCATTATTATCTCTCAACTAATGCTTTTACTTTATCTTGTTCTTCTTTAGGAAACGCTAGGAAGTTATATGTAACCCAATATTTCAAATCATTAGAGTCTAGATCCTCGGCTCTTCTCAGTTTATTTGCAACTACCTCCATAGGATCTTAATTAAATTTTTTAGTCCACAAATATGATTTTTTTTCCGTTTCCAGGTAAATTTCATACTATTTATCCAACGAATACTTTTCTTTAATGCTTTTGAATGGATCCGCCTCTTCCCTCTCGTCAAATATATCTCCCTAATTATCTGTATTTTATTTTTTTTTTAGTTAATTAACTTCTCTGTCTATTTTCAAAGTCCCGTAGATGTCATCATGCTCTGAAATTCTTTTACCTTTGCTAAACATTTCTTTATTTTATAATTACTCTTAATGTAATGCCTAAAGTAATGCGGGGTTTTGGGGTTTTGGGGTTTTGGGG